CTTTTCTGCCGAATTCCCCTTTTCTTGCACCAGGGTTAGATGGCTGGTTCGACTTACTCAGAGCGCAAATGTGCACTTCCTAAATATGATATAACCTGTTTAACAAATAGAACTTTGTTTCATCAACAATCCCATCACAGAATGTGCTATGGGAAAACGCCTGGCCTTGCTTGCAATGTCCATCTACCCTGCGACACAAGGACACTCGTGCAAATGTGGCGCAGTAGTTAGTTTGTCGAGATTATTTGCTGCAATGTCATGGTTCGAGTCCTGCTGATGGTACTGATGAGGACTAGGCGGGGTCGAAACTGTAGTCAAGCCCGTATGGGAATACCTTTTGAGAAGCAAGGCTATGTGGAATTCAATACAGCGATGAGGCCTACTCATATGATTGTAGGAGGACAAAACCTCTTATATATGATCTACTAGTAGTCTCGAAAACCTACTTATAAAAGGAACAAATTGCGCCAAGTCGAAGAGAAGAGTTCTTTGGAGAGGCATGCAGAGCGCATGTAAAAAATCAAAATTTGCCTTTGGTGCATGTGGCTGTTTCAGCGTCAGAGCTGGCAACCACACGCTTTGAAGGGCGTATTTTCTCATCATTCCGATTCCTGATGGCTCCTACCGCAAGGCAACTAATATGAGTTGATTGAGAATATCTGTCTTTGGGAAAAGAAACCCACTAAAGACCATAGTTGATTGCCCGAACATTAAAAAGAAACCAAGTCAACCTCTACCTCCACTCAACTGACCTGCTCTGAAAAAGGCCTCTGAGGCAGCATATTTTCAGGTGTTTATACGTTAATGTATACGTCTTGGCATAAAACCAAATGTACTAAGTTCAGTATACGGAGGCAATGTATGCCCTGACGTGTACATGAGTGAAAAAGAAACAAGACCATATGATAAGATAGGTTAAAAGTGATTATATCATCAGATATGGCAAAGGTGATTCGCCTCTGCCGAAAAATGTACGCAAGGAGTTTGCAAAGTATGGCCATGGAAGGTGGAATGCAACCTCTCAATTTCGTATCCAAATGGCTATATAATTTTATAATGATGGGGAGACTTTCATTTCCTATCGAAGTACATGAAGAAGTGATTCTAAGGTCGATCTCACCAGAAGACTAGGGCAAATTTCCGTTCCAAGGCAGCCGTTTGGCTAAGGTTGACGCTGTCTAAGAGACATTCTCCCTCGTTTCGTACATCGACTCTTTAATGTCTTCTTCACGCATCTCGATACACAATGAAAGTCTCTACAACAATGTTATTTTAAAAGATGCATCAAAACCCAGTTACTCTAATTATATATATTTTATATGCCTACAAGTATACGCAATTACTGGAAGCAGTCAGCTTTTACCCCAAATAAACCTGCTTCCAGCATGAACATGTGCAAATGTGGTGTACACCTTCTTTGTCATACCCCTTTTTGTGAGCCTGTAAAAAACTAATGCATCTGCCGCAATTAATTTCCAAATTAACGCAAGCTGCTATGCCCTCATTTATGAACTGTCATAAAAAATGCATTTATGAATTTTGCCTGTGATTCCAGCATCTCTTATCTGAAATTCCATCGTATAATCATCTATTCATTGATGAGTTGTGGACTACTGGGGTTCCAACGGCAATTTTAAGTTCGTCATGGGAGAGCCGTTAACACCCTCATCATCAGCAACAGTAGCATCAGCAGCATCATAATTAGTTCAATCCATACAAACGATTAACTATTCTCGATTAAACTTTCAGAATTGGTTTACCCACGACGAGTGGAAAAGAAAGCATGAGTATATCTTCGAATTTCATTATTTGATCAACTCACAGTTGGGCTATTTTCACTTGTGAAATGAAGTCAATTCAAGGTATACGGAATCGTTTGCACAAATGATTCGCATCAAAAGTCCATTCCATCATACATCTTTCAACATTGCACATGAGGCCAGGGTCAACTTTATGCAGGGAATTGCAATAAAATGCTTGTAAATCGGATAGGAGAACACACGCCAGAGCGGTGAGAGACCTGGGGTAGCGACAGAAGTATAACTCATATTCAGTCCGGGAACTAAATCAAAACACGAACAAGCATTCGATAACCTTTCCAGCTCTCTATTTCCCTTAATTGAGCTCAATGCAATTAGACGATTCAGTCTAGGAATGAATAAGTTCATTTTGCCCCAGCATAGCGGGACATTTCCCCTAGTTTCCCCTTCAGTAACTTTATAGCAAATCCCATATTCGATAACCACGAAGAGGTAGGTATACTTTGTCCAATGGACTGTTGGCTTCAAACAATCTTAATTCTATAAGATATAT